AGGTGGCGGTTTGAGGAACAAGAAGTCCTGTGTCCAGAGCATGGGGGACCCCGCGGGGACTCCCGAGAGAGAGAGAGGGGGGCCTGGGAAGTGACAGATGATGAGAAGAGGCTCCGTGCGGGGCTAAGTGTCGTGTTTCATCCTGAAGGCACGGGAATGACGAGACCCGGGACAGGGCAGGGGCTGCTTTCCAAAGGCAACTGCGCGCAAAGCGGAAGGAGGTCTGTGTGTGGGGAAGAGGGGCCAGGGAGACAGTCGGGGTCTGTGCCAGGCCCAGGGAGGACAGCCAGGAGCTCAGCCCCGAAAGGGTCACATTTAGGAACAAGAACAGACAGAGCGTAAGGTCATCACACCAGCGAGGAGTCAGAGCGCTCCACTCCTGAGACGCGGCGCCCGCCAAGATGGCCAGAGCACCTCCCCCGTGAAGAACAGCCCTGGTGACGTGTGACCGAATGAACAGGCGTGTCCAGGCCAGGGCACAGGGCAGAGCGTCAGGGGCCGCCCCGCAGAACCTCCCCTGACTGCCTGAATTATAAATACTCTGCCGGCCAGACACGCCTCCTGCAGGAAGCAGCTTTCCTGCCCGAATCTAAACCTGCCCCCGCTGACCGCCCTCGGCAAGGCGACGCTGCCCGGTTCAAGACCATTCCTGTCCTCACATAAACTCATGTGAATGGTAAGGAAGGCACCGCAGCGTTCACGTTTGTGTGTGTGGCTGTGTGACCGATGATGCCCCGGGCCTGGACTCGCCGCTCCGTCCACTGTGGACTCTTCCTCCGAGTTCACAGCTCCCTCCCTCTCCCTCTGAGCAGCCCCACCCCAAAGCCGGCACCTGCCTGCCCGCCCGGCTCACCGTCTCCACGCCCGCCTCTGCCTGGCACCAGGGCTGCACCCCTACCCCCTCTGTTGGGACATCTGCCTCTGTGCTCACCCAGGCTCCAGGCCCACACGGGGTGCAGCAGCAGCAAGAGCTTGGAGGTCGGTTGGGGGGCGAGCGAGCGAGCGACCTGCCACATACCGGACACAGTACAGCAGGTGCGTGTGGTAATCCGCATAGGTATAGAAGTCGTCCCCTATCTCGTGGTCCAGCATGGAGTGGCTGTTCTGGAAGTAATTTAACACACTCAGGATGGTGCAGTTCTTGTTATACGGGGAGAGCGGGGCCAAGCAGATGTCCTGGAGGGTCACGGTCTCGTTGTTGTAAGATGCAGTGATGTGTTCAATGGCTGTTTGTAAGTCAAGAACCTGAAACAAGATACAAATCCGGAAACACGTCAGATTTCTCAGAGTCTGACTCATCCCTGCTGCCGAGGGGTCAGAAGATAGAGTACCTGGGGGAAACCCTTCCTAAGACGGAGCAGAGCGGACGGGGGCAGTGTGGCAGGGCATCTGATGACACCCAAGATGGCAAACTGGGATGGGGACCCTATATCGAGGCATCCAGAGAGATGGGGAGGCAACCCCATCACCAGGCAGAGCACATGAGCCTGATTCCTCGCACCCTTCTCTAGCAGTGACCGGCAGTGAGCAGCAGTGACCAGAAGGGCCAGCAGGGAGATTTCTCTAGCAGTGACCGGCAGGGAGCAGCAGTGACCAGCAGTGAGCAGCAGTGACCAGAAGGGCCAGCAGGGAGAAGCAGGCCTTCTCCTCCGACACGCCCCTCACACCAACACCCCCTAAAGCCTAACGTTTAATGCCGTTGTGCAATCACTGATTAAACAGGAGGCGGGAGGCAGTGTGTCCACAGGCACATTTCCCCGGGGCCAGCGCAATGGGGAGAACAGGTGGATCTGGTCCCAGACGCCTCAGTAGCTGCAGCCAGTGGCACTGTCACCCTTGAGGGCAGAGCAGTGGCCGCTCTGCCCAGGGCCCAGGACCGGCGGGCTCAGGCCTCTGGGTTCTAGCACATTATCTCTAAATGCCCAGGGGGAGAGTCACAGGTTCCCAAGGGAACTAGAACACAGACGCTTCAGTCCAGAAACACTCACCCCAGCTTCTAGAAAGAAGCAAGACCTACCACATGCAGCACATACAACACCTGTCATTCGCCTTCTTGGGGACTCACTTTACTTCCACCATTAAGGTTTTTAATCTCCCACCACACTCACACCCAGAGCTGGTGGTGAAGCCGGCAAACCACCGTGTGCCCTGGAACCGCTGTCTGTGAAGCGCAGATTACCTGGTGCAGAATCCCTTTGTCGAGCGGAGGTCCGAAGGGCACGTCGGACCCCGAGGGGTATGGCTCGTAAGTGTGCACGGCGGTGTGCGGCGCCTGGATGATGAGCTGCTCCGTGCGGAAGAAAGGCCCGAAGTGGGTGTCGAAGTACTCCTTCTCCAGGCGCGCCTGGCTGCTGGGGGCCGACCAGAGGTCCACGGGGCTGGTGGTGACGCGGACGAACACCAGGCCCGAGGAGCAGGCGACGATGAAGGCCAGGGAGGAGAAAATGACACAGCCGGGGTTTCGGACACAGAAGGAGCCCCACCGGGTGAAGAGCCGCCTCAAGCAGCCCTCGAATGCGGCACCAAGCGGGTCGCAGCAGGAGGCCTCCCCTGGAGGAGAAGTGGGAGGTGGTAAGGGCCAGGCCATTCCTGAACGTTGGGCAGGGAAAGCATCAGCTACGCCTCCACCTGGCAGGAGTCCTGGCTGCACCTCCCCGTGCGCTGGCCCTCAGCGTCCTACCTGCCTGGAGGCCACCTTCCTGCCTGCCCACCATGACCGCCAGGCCCACCCCAGGAGGACGATGCTCAGGTACCCGCCTCTGAAAGGCCAGCTCTCTGGCACCCTGAGCTCAGCAGCTCCGTAAACTTCCCTGCTGCTCCCGCCTCAGCCCTGGTCAGCACCCAGCTCTGTCCCACCCATGGTCCCTGCCCACGGTCACCCACGGCTGCTGGTAATTACCTGGCTCCGATCTGCCGCCCCCCTAGCCTGTAACGACATGGCAGGGCCTGTCTGTCCTGCTCAGAACTGTCCTCGGCCGGAGCAGTCTGTCCCCACAGGCGCATAAACACCCAGCACAACCCACCCTTTCATTCAAGTACAAGGGGCCTACCTGTGTCGCTGACACTCATCGGGAAAGCTATGCTGCTATCAATGGGGGTGTACTCGGAGACCAAGTACCGTTTTCTGAAAAGTGAAAGCACGTAAGTAGTATCAGGGGGTTTCAATACAAGGAGGTCTCTGACATTCCTGCTCAAAGCTTCCTTCCTCCTCCCATGGTCCTCTGCCCCCCAAGTTCACAGAGTGCCGCACAGCGTCCATGTCTCTCCCCCAAGACATCGATCAACTACAGAGAGAAACAGTAACTCCACAGTGGAGAGCCCAGTGCTCACAGGGAGCGCCCAGCAAGGGGACTCGCTGACATCACGTGCCCCCGGCAGGACGTGCTGAGAGAGGTGCCACAGCAGGGCTGTGAGGTTCCTGGGCAAAACCCACAGCCTCACCCAACCAGGAGGAAGTAGCGGTAAAGCTGAATCGAGGGACATTCCACAAACAACCGACCAGGACTCATCCGAAGTGCCGAAGTCACAAAAGGGAGAGACTAAGGCACTGCCTGTCACTGGCTAGAGGAGACCAAGGAAACACAAAGGGGTGCAGTGTGGGGTCCGACAGGGAAACAGGCAGGTTTTCATATTGTCCGTAGCTTAGCTAAGGTTATACCACTGTCATTTCCGTGGTTTTGGTAATTATAAACGATGGGTTATGTAATTGCAACATTAGGGGAAACTGGGTAAAGGATAAAGTATGAATTAAGACCCCCCCACACACACACACACAGCACATCTTCGTACCTGTCTCCTAAGTCTAAAATTATTTTAAAATAAAAAGTTAAATAAAATAAACTGTCCTAAATCAAGATGCAAATATCTAAAGGAACTACAGTATAGTATTGCATTTAAATAAATTTGCATCCGATTAGGTTCCGAAGACTTTCTAATGGGTGGTCTCTGCACGGTGCTAATTCACACATCCTTTTGAATGAATCAGTGAGACCAGCTTCTAATGTCCCAGTGTCTGCACAGGCCCTGGTTGTTTCCTGTTGCCGGACATAAGCATCCACAGGATGGTTTTAGTGCAGAGAACCGTTTCCTGTCTAACTGCCCAAGGTCTGGGTCATGTGCTCTTCTTACTCTGAAGGACAAACGAACGGCTTACCTATAGCACCACACGGCAAAAATGGCTCCAAAAAACATGAGCAAAAACGCCATGTAGGTGGCCCACATGACGACGTACATGGCGTCCAGGCCCCAGATTCTCCAGGGGACAGGCGGGGGCGGCGGCTGGGGGCGGGGGCCGCACACAGCTGCAGGGCCCGGTGACCTCGTCCACGGGCTCGGCACAGCCCTTGGTGGCGTTGTTCATCGGCTCCATCCCGTGGGCCGGGATGTCTGCAGCGAGGACGGTGTTGAGTGAAAGTCTCAATTTAAAAACACTACAGAGCTTGCGTTAAACACACTGAAACCCAATGATAAGCACCCTGAACTCTATAGCACGACTGGAGGTGTCTGTCTGACCAGATTCTGTGCTGCCGCTGAGTCCTGTAAAATGTTAAGTTGCTGCGGTAACTCTGAGCACAGACGGTTTGTCGCTGAGATTTGAGTGCCTCACCTTCCAAGGCCTGGTTCCCACTGAGGAGCGAGGCTGACACAAGCACAGAACTCCTGACCAGGCTTCTGCAAGGATTTGGCCTTTTATTTTTTAAATAAAAGCCCAGGTGACCCTTTCAATCATGCAGCAACCCCTGAAGGCAAGTCCAGGGCAGGACAAGTGCCCCCACCGCAGCCCCCCCCCCTCAGGGGAGGGACACCCAGGCTGCCGCCTGGCTCATCTTCCTGCTGCACTGAAGGCTCCTGGCGCTAACACCCTGACTGCGCGTCCTGAGCGCGTGCCCACCTGAGAAGACGGGAGTGATGGTGAAGGGGGCCTGGCCGTTGTCCTTGTTGAACATGTACTCGATCCAGTTGGTGGCGTTGCAGGCTGCGGCCTCCTTCCCACACAGGAGCCCCAGGGCCTTGTCGTTGCTCGAGGGGGCCTCCACGTCCCTGCAGGCGTTGTACATGGCTAGCAGGGGAAAGGGAGGAAGGCGGAAATGCCGCTGCCGTCACAGGGCGAGACCACAAAGGCCTCCGTGTGTGACTGGAGTGCACGTGCACCGAGGGCAGAAGGCAGGACGAGCGGCCACAGTGCGCAAGGGCAGCACCGGACCCAGCTCATCACACCGACTTGGCCAGAGTCCAGTCTCACACACGACAGGCAGGAAGCCAGTCCTCCCAGGAGCCCACGCTGCCCAGAGGCACCCTCCCCCCTGCACGGAGGAGTGGCCGAGGCTGAGGATGGACAGCTAAGAGCTTAGTGCCCCTCAGTCAACAAAGCTGGTTCCAGAAACCTCCTGCGGCAGGAACCTGCGCTGTAATGGAGCCGCTCTCTGACTTCACGGGCAGAGGACGCACTGCAAGTGCAGAGGACCACACCTGCCACCTGTGTATTTTGTTTCTCCTAATCTGTCTGGCTTGCATTTTTCTTTCTTTCCCTAAGTCTGGGGGTTCCTCTCTCATCCATTCTGGACAGTCCTCAGCCATTTTCCTTTTGCTCACTGTCTCCCCAACTCTCTCTCTCTTGTCTTTTGTCAGAGCCCCTCACTTTACCCCTCGTGCCACTTCTGTAATGATCTGTGCAAGTCTCTGCTGTCCTCTGGGTAATTCCATCACATCTTCCAGCCTGCCACTTGGTTTTCAGGTTTTTATTTTAGTAAATATTTCAAGCGTACAGAAAACATGGAGAATACAACTCCCAATTCCCATTTACTCACCACCCACTACAGCTATCTTACTACTTTACATTTGCCTCAACATTAAAAAAAAAAAAAGACTAAAGACACAACTGAGGCTGACTCCCCTCCCTGTGACCATCCTCCATCCTTAAGGCAACCACATCCTGAATTTGATGCTTATCTTTCCTATGCATGCACACACTTTTATGTCATATTCATGAATATATAGCATTGTTTAATATAAACAACATATTAACATGTATATTCTGTAACATTTTCAGTCAACATTTTAAAGCAGGGGTCCTCAAACTACGGCCTGCGGGCCACATGCGGCCCGCCGAAAACATTTATCCGGCCCGCCGGGTGTTTTTGCCGCCGCTGCCTGTCCTGCTGAGCAGCCGACTCGTCCCGGGCCCGCAGTGCGCATGTGTGGAATGTCTGAGGGACAGTGAACTGGCCCCTGTTTAAAAAGTTTGAGGACCTCTGTTTTAAAGAGTCATTCATGTGAATGCCCTAACTCTCAGATATTTGAACAGTTTTAAGTATTCCATTGTTGACTATGACTATGCTCCCATATATTACCCATTCTCTTAATTAGCATTAGTGTCTCTGATTTTTTTATTTGTTTCTAAAAATTTCCAAGGTTAGCATTTTTAGTCTAAATATTTTTTAGTATAATGAGCAAAAATAGAAACTAGATGAATAGAGGAATCAATTCTCTCACTCCATCTATCAACTAGCCACTTTCCTTAATCAGTAGCAGCACTCCTGTTACATGGATCAATTTCCACACGCATGGTTCAGAATGACCTCTCTCTGTTCAGCAGACTGTCTTTTATGTCACATCTTTTGGCAAATTTATTCCTAGGCATCTTACTTTCTGTTGCTTCTGTGAGTGGGACTTTTATCTATTAATTTTTTGTTATATTTTTAATTGGTCATTACAATTAAAGTTGTATGTTGCTCTTCTAATCAACAACTCTGTCAAATTCTTACTCTCTTACTTTATAGGTCATTCTTGGGCACATTATTTAGCTGTGTCTGCTCTGCTGCTTATCTTTTAGCCATTTAAATGACTATTTCTCATTAATAGGTCCAGGTGGTTCTATTTCTAATCTTTCATTCTCTTTCTCTAGAATCTTACTCTTTCAAAATTCTTTCATCTCCGCCCTAGCCAGTGTGGCTCAGATGGATGAGCGTTGTCCCATGCACCAAAAGGCTGCTGGTTCGATTCCTGGTCAGAGCACATGTCCAGGTTGCAGGTTCAATCCCCAGTTGGGTGCTTGTGGGAAGTAACCAATCAATATTTCTCTCTCCATCCATGTTTCTCTCTCCCTCTTCCTTCCGCTCTCTTTCAAATCAATAAAAACATATTTTTTTTAAATTCCTTTATTTCAATGATTTTCAACAAACATCATATGGTCTTTTTCAGATTGTCCTATTATTTCTAGTTGTTGGGGTCCCTCTCCCTGGATTGCTATACCTGCTTCCTTTCCCTCATGGCAACCTGTTTCTTCACAGTCAAAATGTCCTCTCTGCCAACTACTCTACTCTCCATCCCTCTCCTCAGTCTTGTAGTAATTCATGGAGTTACACAATTCATGTCCAATAGAACCACAGTTTATGGCAACCTGTTACTTCACAGTCAAAATGTCCTCTCTGCCAACTACTTACTCTACTCTCCATCCCTCTCCTCAGTCTTGCAGTAATTCATGGAGTTACACAATTCATGTCCAATAGAACCACAGTTCCATTGTTTCTAAAATGTACAGAAGGAAACTTGCACATACTCAGAATTCCCATGTGGAAGCATATAGTTAGGAAGCAGTTAAAGCAAATCTCCTCTTTCAGGAGATTGTTTTATAGGGTTCGGATACAAGCAGCAACAACCTGCATTCACGGCCAATGAAACAAACATTGTCACTTTCACACAGTTGACAGGACAGCAAAAAGGAACAACTTGATCCACAGCCCGGATACCAATTGTAAAAGAGGAATAATTGAAAGTGTACTTACCATTGGCAAAACTCTCTCCAACATAGTACTGTAATTCCTTCACGTTTGTTTTATTCTCGTGGGTAACAGGGTCCACATACTCTTCGGTTTCTGTAACGTTCAGAAACTGGCTTTGTCGAGGGCTACACGTCAGCTCACAAAACAAGTTCATCAGGTTATAAAAACAGGATGGACATCTAGAGAAAAAGTAACCACACTCTGTATGATGTCACCGATAATAGGACTAACAAAACGATGATTTAAAATAGGAAAAGCATATTTAAATATTATCATGAAGACACATTACACCCAGCCACTATAAATAAGCCTAAACCCTCGTGTTAAAATAAAGACACCTCTCTAAACACGGCCCTTATCACTACATCTTATTTAAAATAGGAAAAGCATATTTAAATTTTATTATCATGAAGACACATTACACCCAGCCACTGTAAACCTAAACCCTCGTGTTAAAATAAAGACACCTCTCTAAACACGGCCCTTATCACTACATCTATGTTGTCCAGATGTAATGTCAAACAGCAAAATGCGTCTCTGAATTCTGCACTTTCTAATTTAGAGAAATGTTTTCCACGACTTGAAGCTAAAGGGACTTAAACGCCTCCTGGTGACAGTGGTGAGTTCACAGCCCACTGAAGGGCTCTCCCCAGCCCCGGCTAACACAGGCCTCCCTCACCCAGGAGCACTCCCTGCGGCCTGAGGAGAGCAGCACTGGTGGTCGGAGGAGCAGAACCACAGCTGCCTGCGGGCCTCAGGCTCGAAGGTTAAGCTCCTGAGGTGGAGTTTTGTGGCAAAAGCACTCTCTCTCCTCTCTGCTCACAGCTCTCTGCAAAACGACTGCTTCATTGGACCTGCAGCACAACCAAGCACAACTGCTCCGACCCGAGGGCGACCACTCGGGACGTGTTTGAGCCTCACAGCCCCTGGTGCAGTGAAGACAGAGCCACACACCCTGACCCTCAGGAGTCTTGTGCGTTACCGTGACAACAACGGGAAGGACACCGGCACCATTTATAAAACCACTTTTGGTGCAGTTTTGTCACTCTCCACGAATTACAAACTCCCGCCAGGCTACGCATTTAATCTCCACAGTCCTCGATCTGACAGCTGCCTGGCATTCCACAGAGCGATTTCTCATCGTTTCCACTGTGGATAAAGCGTTGGCACCGCTGACAACATGGAGACAATGCGGTTACCTCTGACATCATAATGCCTCCCCTGGGCGGTGCTAAAGAAACGAGGTTGCCGAGCGGTGGCTCCAGGCTTGCTCCATCGGCACCACAGGACATGCCGCCCAATCAGATCTTAACTTTCCATCTGTCATTAAATTGCACGTCGTCCTGGAAGGGGGGGCTGTTTCCCCTCTTTACCGGCAGCTTAAACTTCTGGGAAGAACAGAAGTTCCTCGGTGGACGCCGACGTGGGCCCTTTGCCTGCAGTGATCTCTGCACAGAGCAGCATCCCCACGTCATATGTCCTTCCCATCGGCCTTGTGACAAGACCACGTCCGCTTGTCCTTCTGCACATGTGAGAGCTGCTGCGTGGCTTAGACAAGAACATCTCGCACGTAACCCTCTCACTGCCCTGGTCATAGACACAGACTGGACAGCAAACTGACTCTGACAAAACCAGTCGGCTGCGCCAGAACAATCCTGTTAACAGTCAAGGCCAGCTCTCGGGAGGCCTGGCCTCAAGCACATCACGTCACCCCCGGAAGAGACCGTGTGCAAACCCGGGGAGGTGAAGGGGGGCGACGAGAGACTCCACATGAATGTGTGGGTCAGAGACCTGAGCAGAACCCCCGGGCGCAGAGGCTCCGTGTGGAAGGACCTGGTTAGTCACAGTGCAGGCCCTTGGGGGTGAAGACAGCTCGGAGGAAAACCAAGTATACCTCTGGCTGTAAGTAACTAGAAGAAAAGTAAGTCTGATCATTACTACTTTATCAGAAAGTATTCATTGTTCCTGGAAGTCTTAAGATTGCTTTCTTAAAATTAAACAAAACCTTAAAGGAACGGGAATGTGCCGGCTAAGAAGTGCAGGAGGCCCTGCTCAGCGCCTTCGCCAGGCTCAATGGCTCTGAGGGAAACCACATACAGTGGGGCCTTGACTTACGAGTGTCCGGACTAATGAGTTTTTTGAGATACCAGCTGTCTCTCGGCCGATTTTTTGCTTTGAGTTGACAGAGTAATTTGAGTTAACGAGCTCCTTAACGAGCTCAGTCTCGGAACGTCTCAGAACAAATTAAACTCGTAAGTCAAGGCCCCAATGTACAATAAACCAATGTCACCACAGAGTGACTGACAGACACAAGAGCTCAGCTCCTACAGCATCTCGGCGACATTATAAAGAAATGACATTGAAGGAAAGGGCCTTATTCGAGGACCTGCAGACCTAACACTGTCTTCTCCTGCTTGCCTGGCGGCCGACCTACCTGGACAGAAACTGGAGAGGCAGCTGCAGGTTGTCTTTCAGGGTCCGGAGCTGCTGCACATCACAGCAGAGGCTGACGTTGCCGAAGAAGAACCCCGGACAGAGTTCCTTTGGGGGAGAAAGCGTGGAAATCAGGGCAGCGCAGTCCAACACAGACAGACATCACCAGGGAAACAAGCAGCTTTATCCACCCTTTCCCGTGCACAAGGCTCAGACCCTCTTGGCAAAGGCCTTGCAGAATTCTTTTAAAGGCCATCAATGCACTAGTTCAAAGCTAAGGATTCACAAAAGTAGAGACAGTTCAACTTTTTTTCTTATTTGGAAGCTCACTCTCCTCCCTTGACCAATCAGCTTACCTCTCCTTGTGCTTTTTCATTTACGCTGGACCAGAATTCTATTCACTGTGTATCCGGGAGCCACTCCAGGGTAGGTCAATGCCTTTAACTATTTGGATGAAGGAGCAACATCTCCAACACCTGCTACCCTGTCAAGTTGATTTTAGATGCTTACGCCTCTAAACTAGTCTTTCACCTTGATTTTCCCAATTCTTCCTAACATCTCTGTGAACCAGGGATGGTGAAGGAGACGACAGAAAACAGAATGCTGGTAGCAGCCAAGCCCACAGGCTCTCAGAGGAAGACCAAGGAACCACTAAATGAACGGAGGACAAAGAAGCCACAGCCCCGTGGCTGCCTCGTCCACTCAGGTCCTGAAATCCAGAACCAGGCGAAGCTAACTTCCAGCCCATTTGGAAGAAGGTGCAAAGAGCACCTCTGAGACACCAGGGTCAGTCCCCAACAGTGACCTGCAATGAGAAACTTCACGGGAAAGGCGTGAAGTCAGCCCCGAAAACCCACCCCTGGAGTCGTCTTATCTCCTGTCGTCATATGCTGCCTAGTGGTTTCGGGGCAGAGTTAACCCTGCAGGTGTTTCCCCTCAACCCCCGCGCACAGTAATCCAGTGGGGCCTTGACTTCGAGATACGAGCCGTCTCTCGGCCGATTTTTTGCTTTGAGTTGCGAGCTAAAATTCGGGTTACGTACGAGCCAGCTTCAGATACCCCACCACTAGTTGGCGTAGCGAACGTCACAGTGATTTGACATACGAGTAATTTGAGTTATGAGCTCCATCATGGAACGAATTAAACTCGTAAGTCAAGGCCCCACTGTATCTCAGACATGATCCCAGAGGCTCTCCGATTGGAATCCATGTTCCCAGCGCCCAGAGGACAGCTTACCTGCACTAAGTCATACCCGTCCTTCGGCAGTGCCTGCGGGGGCCCGGAATACTCGCAGTTGTACCTCTTGTCTCCAGAAGCAATCCCACACTCTCCATACCAGACGCAGGACTGCGGAAACACCTGCGGAGCCAACACAAACGGTTCACCGGGGCCTCAGCAGCAGGAAGCACCCTCAGCTCCCACACAGAACCTCCCACTGTCACCTGGGAAGGGGTGACAGCAAGAGGCACTGCGAGGTCAACATCCTGAAAAAATTCAGTAAAGCAAATGCCACCCCCAAAACCTGGTCAAGCACGGCGGTGAAGGAGGTAACAGAAACGACCTATTTGCACGAGTCCTATTCCTGCCAGTTCACTGGTTCATAAGAGAAGGCTGTCGTTTATTACTAAGAATTGCTAAAAATCCACGCAAGCACAGGCAGCATGTGATGACTGAGGCACCGTGTCTGCATGGCTGAGTAAGGAACGAGGAGCGCTAAGGAAGGGAGAACAGCCCCTCTCTGTTTTGGAGAATTAACAGCAGCCCCTCATGACTCACAGGGAGAACAGAACCACCAACACCAATAAGCCCTCAGTAAGAAGCAGCAGCAACACACACCTTGTCCTAAGGTCAGGGGACGGTAAGCAATGTGCTCATTTTAAGGAAAGTCACCTCATCGATCTTAAAAGAAAAATGCACGGCCTCTCCTGTAAAGATTTCTCAAGAGCCACTCATGTCCCTCATGTGAGAGTCACGAGGCTGCAGGAACTCAGGAGGGAGGAGGTGCCGTGTGAGTCACCGGGTCAGCTGCCACCGGCCCTGCCAGCCACCGGGGCCGCGGGCTTGCACAAGCGAGCCGTCCCCTGTCCCTGGGGAAACGGAGGACATCCCACCGGGCTCCCAAACGCCTGGAGAGACAGCCAAATTAAACAATCTGCACCGAGGCCGCCGCGCATTCTCCGGGGGCCGGGGCACAGGACCCACACACCCGAGAGGGCCGTCAGTCTGTGCTGTGGTCCCCAGCGCTGAGATACAAATCCCACAACAGGCCCTGAAGACCTGGAAACATGAAAGAAAAATCAAGCAGGAGGCGGGGGAACATATGTGGGGGGAGCCAGAGGGGTCGCTATGATTTGACTCTGAATTCATTCGGGTATTTTAAAACATCCTTATCTCGACTCATTATACAAATGATACAAATGAGGACGTGCCAACTATTCGAAAACACCACATATCAAAACTTTGGCAAGATGCTACAAAATTCCATCGCATTTTTAGGCAAAAAGAATCACAGTTATTTCCAATTCTAGGGAAAGTATTGTTCCTTCTAAGACTGTGGGTTCCAACTGAAAGGTCATTGTCCATCTACTGAAGTTTGAAAAGGCAAAAAAGCTGACCAACGAGGACGAGACGGGACAGGCGATGCTGATATTGACATGCCATTTAAACAGAAGAAACCCACCCTGGACCGCACAGCATTCTCAACAGCCCAACATGGCAAGCAAGTCTGGGCCCGGGGATGGGGGGT